CCCAGCACGCACGATGGAGGCTACTGTAACTGACCAGAAGAGCTTAAGAGGGTCATCGATTAGATACAATACCCGTCGGCTCGTGCAACGAGTTGGGATCAAAGCCAGCTTGGTTTATTAAGAACGATGCCACTTGGAAGTGACCGTTTCTGGCGGCAGCATCCAAGGCACTGTAGCCACTCCGAGATCGGGTGCTACATACGAAAAAGTTCAAAATTTCGCCATGTGGAAAAGATGCGAATCACGTCGCATTCGCCCCCCGCCGCAAGAGCCATTCAATGCTTTCCAGTTGACCTCGACCCGCTGCTTTGAAAATGCAAGACTCAAAATCTCGGCCTGAGAGTCAAATTTCACGGCAATAGGCGACTATGAACGTACCGGGAGCATTGATGGAAGCACCAGCTTTCACGAGTTGCTTGATACGATCGAGGTCGCCAGCCAAGCATGCCTCGTGAATCTTATGAGGGCTCGTTGATGACAACGACGACAGCAGCTGTTGGAGAGTACTCACCGGCTGGTCTATAGGGTTGTTATCATTGGCGCCCTTAGCCTGATGGTCACCAGGGACCTCGGATTCTCGCCAGTCCTCAGGGTATGATTGCACCTTTATATATCATATCCACTATCTCTAGAGTCTCCTACATGGACTTTCCCCAAGTATTCATGGCACTCGGTACAGATGACCCCGAATGCTATTAGGAGTGCTCTCGACAACAATGGCATCCACCTTACTAAATGCGGAGTGGAATTAACAACACAACCTTTATTCACTCTGACAATTTCAACTGATCAGTGGCTGATGACGACGATGTTACAGAGAACAACAGTAGGGCAGTCTTCAGTCAAGCAGAATTCTTCGGCAAGGGGCTGCAGAACCAGAGAGTAGTGACCGGCCAGCCTACTAGGCAAGTAGCCACCGACACTACGGCATCGTTATTATGACACTTAAGGTGAAGACTACTATTCTAAACAGATAACAATGAGGACGTGGGTAGACGGCAGAGATGTGGACTACTGCGCCGTTTTAATAAGGGGAATCGTCGTATACTAGAAGGACATTCGGCTGAGCAGAATTCCCAGGGAAAGGAAACCGACGACTCCTCTAAGAGGTAGTAGTAGGATGACGACTATTGATACAGAGATGATCTCCTCAATGATTATGGAGGAGAAAGGGAGCGGCGGCAGTGACTACGACCAGTGGGAAGGACACACATCCACTGGTCATGGTAATACGACCGCAGTATAACACAAATATAGATCTATAACTACTATTATTACAGCACTTTCCACAGCACTCCTCTTACCGTAGTACTACAACCGTTAAAGCCACTAAATACAAACACTGTCAGTAGTTGCTCTGACGTGCAGTAGGGCAGCACGGGTAGCAACGACGATGATAAGTTGCGAAAA